CGGGGCATTTTAACGAGTACGAGTACAGGAGACCAGTATCGGGCCCGATACCAGTATCAGTGCATCCCTAGTATTTATGATCTTGTGAATCTGTTTTTTTATTATACATATACTTGAGCAAAAAAAGGTGGTTGTGAAACAAGTGTCTTTCCATCAGCATTCCTTTTGTCACTCACTAATCTCTTTTGATGTAAGACACTTCTCGCCTCAGTTCTTCCAGTCTTAATAATCTTGTTTAAACTCAACAATACTGAATTGATCAAGCCTGTCTTGTCCTGTTTATTTATCCTTCCTTGACACTGAGCTTTAGACCCTGCAGGCCCTGATTGCATGTCCCCCCATGTATCATCTGATGAAGTCTATTCCCCTTTTCACTGAGACTCAGAGACCCTGCACATCCACACCCATGATGGATAACTTGTAAGTTTCAGGCTACTTTGCTGCCCTAATTAAGTAATTATTTCTGTAATTATACAATGTGTTGTGGCCTGGATCTGGAATAAATTATAACTTGATATCCATTCCGTGCATTTACCAGCTTAAAATGCCTAAACTACATTCAAAATTAGAAAGAGGCACAAGTGTGATTGATTTTAAACTTAGGTCTTATCTATAATGCAAGATTGTCATATGCCACCACATAATTCTTTTTAGACCAGAACTACCAAACATCCACAGCATACATTAGTTTCAAACTTCATTGAACTGGAAATTCTCCATTCAGAAGTGTGTCTTGATTTTAACTGGAGTGAAATATGAAGGGAAGCATCTGTTTGTACAATGATACCAGATGTATCATTCATAATAAATGAACAGTCTTATCTTTTAGTTTGCTTACAAGTTTCAAATTAAGATGGAAATGTTAAATATGAAATATGTGGACCTGACTGTAGCTGAACTACTCTGATTGACTTCAATTAATCAACATAAGTTTGTGCAAATCACAGCAAATTCCTGTCCCAAAAAATAAAAAAATACATTTCTGGGACCAAATCCACTTTTTAGTGCGGTCTGCCTACCACTTACTATAAAATTACTATTAAAAGATTGGTGAACTGCTGTTAAAGAAGAGAAGAATTAGCCTGTCTGCTGCTGCGTGCCATTTACTGCATTGAAATGAGAGGATAGCATTTTTTTATTCATTTTTAATAAATTGACCATAATCTTATGTCTTGTAGTGTTCGGCTTGTGAATGAGTTCAGCAATATGCCTGTCCCTTCCAAGGCTAAACAGCAAGGTAAAGTCTTTCCAGAGTTGATTTAAAAAAAATATTTTTATTCCCCCTTCTGTATTTGTTACATTATCCTTTTCTCTTTTTTAGCTGCTGGAGAGAAGATAATGAAAGACCTTAGAGTGGGTGCTCCTTTTGAACCCACATATATCTATAAACTCACCCTCATCAAATCAGGCCTTTCTGAGAAGGTAAGCATTATGAAGACTGGGCTGATTTTGATAAAGTGTGGGTTTTGCTTCGGTCCTGTTCTTTGAGGGTGTCCAGTGGTACACATTTTGAATGTCTCCTTTATCTTAAAGGGGTCATATGATGCGATTTCAATTTTTCCTTTCTCTTTGAAGTGTTACAAGCTCTTGGTGCATAAAGAAGATCTGTAAAGTTGCAAAGACTAAAGTCTCAAATCCAAAGAGATATTCTTTATTAAAGTTAAGTCAACCACGCCTACCTAAAACGGCTCGTTCTAACACACCCCACATGTCTACGTCACGATGTGAGAAGATTTGCATAACGCCGCCCAAATATTCACGCAAAGAAAGAAGGCGTAACTTAAAAATATTTGGCTGCACAACTGTTGATAATTCTAATAATAAATCAGCATATTAGAATGATTTCTGAAGATCA